ACTGTTCAGATGATGAAGACTTGTCTTCAATGCTTATTTGTTGTAATATGTTGATGGAGCTCTAATCTAATTACATTTTTCTCTACATCTTTTCAGTTCATGGTTTTCAAACGTGCATTTATCTTTGCAGTAAGGGAGTTTTTGCGCTGCAGTTCTTTTGCAGTATCCCTCTGTGTTCAGTGTTCCTTTTCTTGCATAATGTCTGAGCGTATTTCTTAGTTCGTATCTTAGATCTTATTACTGTTTTTCTTTACATTTTATACTTTTGTTGGATGTAACTGGGACCATGTGTACACTATTTGTTTCCACCACATGTTCCACATTTGGTGCGAATGACTAACAAACCTTGACTTGACTTGAAGCAGAGAGCTTTGCCTTACAGCTCATTTCTCTCTTCACCATAATGGACCGGTACAGAGTCCGCAATACAGCTGATGCTGCACCAATCCGTTTGTCAATCTCACGCTCCATTTTTCCCTCACTTGTGAACAAAACCCTTAGATATTTGAACTCCTGCACTTGAGGCAGAACCTCACCCTCGACCCAAGAGAGCAACTAAAAGTAGGACACACAAAATTGTGTAACTTTGTAATATTTATTGAAACAAATCAAAAATTTGGTGTGGCTGAGCATTGTCCCCAACACAAACTTTGAGCGCTGTACATTGCACAAAACATTAAAACTTTGGCATGAACTTTTATCTATCTGTAAGCAAATATTTCAAGAATAACTGCTCAGATTTTACTGAAACTCTCAAAGTAATCATTGGATGTACATATACAACTTTGGAGTCACCCCCAATTTAAGAAGGCCATAACAGCTAATTGACATTAGCTAACACAAAAATGACTATAAGTCAGTGCATTTGACAGGTATTGGTCTAAATGAAATGGTCATCCTCATCACATACTTAGATTGCTGTTCGATCTTGCAAGATCTAACAATACGGCATGAAATTGTGTGAAACATCATTTACAAACAGTTCTTTCTCAATTTCAACATAGGATGGTTTCAATTTAAGACCCTGTTTACACAACATGATTTTTGAGTGAAACTGAATATTTTCTGCGGCAGTCCAGCCATTTGTGTACACGACAACCAGCGCTTGTTCCCTCTAAAATCGAGTGACTCACTCCAGGTCCCAGAGTAGAGGTTTTTGGAAACATCCCTGATACAGGAAGTCCGTAGGTGTTCTGTGCTTGCACAAGCAGAGGAACAGCATTAGGCAACAGATGATAATAAAACTATGTATGTGCTTCTCACCCTTTTCAATGTGCAGGAGCAGCCCAGCGTCGTCCTCAGTCCAAACAAAGGTTCCTGTGTTCACATTTTGGATGCAACCGCTTGGTTTTTCATACTGGAACTGCATGAGTCTCATTAATGCCTGTGCATCAGTGTTGCCAGATAAACATTTATTACTCTTTTTAGCTGCCCTCCTTTTCGTTTCACAAATCACACCACACACCTCATCTTACAACCGTCCTCCTGCAAGGAAGCACACCTCCTAGAGCACGATAGTTTGTGCCAAAATACAATCATTTTAATACAAGTGTACAATAGTTCATTTCCTACTTCAGCACATTCATTTA